TCAATGGCTCAGGAGATCATCTGTACGCGCGGAATCCATCTCACTCGGAACTCCTAGTGAAGTACACAGACGATAGCTCCGACCCTCGGATACCTGCCCTAACTTACGAAATGAATTCACGGGTTCAGGACGCTATGAGAGGGGAAATTGATGCGATTCTCGTTCGAGTGGGGAACTTGGCCGTGCATCGTCGCGATCTACGGACGCTCATCAACCCCAACTGGCTGAACGATACTATCGTCAATGCCTATCTGAACTTGATCGTCAGCCGGAGCAAGAACAATTGCGATCTGTTGAAAGTGTATGCCTTCAATACATTCTCTCTGCTCTGTTACGGGAAAGGTACTTGAACGTCCGGGACTGGACTCGCAATGTTGACATATTCGCTTTCGACATTCTACTTGTTCCGGTCCACCGTGACTCCCACTGGTGCATAGCTATAATCGACATACGAAACCAGAACATTATGTACGGTGACTCGCTAGGCGGCAAGAACGACGCGTGCTTGCAAGCATTGCTCGATTACCTGGTGCTAGAGATGTAGACAAGCAAAGTCGAGAACTTGATCGCAACGGTTGGAAGTTAGAGACTCTGGAACACCTCCCGAGGCAAACAAATGGATCCGACTGCGGTGTGTTTGCTCTCAAGATCGCGGATTACGCAGCTCGAAACGCTGCTGTGAATTTTACTCAAGCCGACATGCCGTATTTCCGGCTAAGGATGGCTTTCGAGATTCTACAGTTGGCAATGATTCCCTCTGGATATGGAGATTGGTGAGAGTGAAGTGAAATAAAAGCTCTAATTCTCATTATTCTGATGGTGCCGTTCTTCTTCGGAGGGATTCTCGGGATGAAGTCGCAGCTTTTCAGGAGGGGGACGAACTATCTTATACCTCAGTCCATAAATTCGATTCATGATGGAGGCGCCTCGAACGAATCCCGCCGTCGACGTCAGGCTGTCCGGATATATCCTAGACCGCCAAGAAACTCGAGTTTCTGGTTTTATGGTTGCAATAACCCACAGGAAGCGACGCTCCGATCGATTTCGACAACGGTCAATACCCGCCGTAAGTCGCCAGGCTCCCCCCGCCGAAATAGCGGGCTCGTTGCTCGGCCTTCGTGAACTCTCCGACCGCCCGCTCATGGCAGAAGAGAACGAATGCGTTGATCCATGTGAACTCTGGGTCTCAATCACCTAGTCACGTGCTGGTCGCGTTTGTCCATTCTGTTGTCGTTTCCATCAGCGTTTATTTCGGAGTGAGTTCGTGTTCTGTCACGTATTTGTGTTTGTTGTTTGTATATCTGATGTTTATATAAGGGTTTCCAGAGACAAGGGAGAGACTCGAAATGGGCATGAGACTGAGATCTCGCGAGCTCCCATTTCGTCAAGAAATGTCTGGAGCTCGAGAAGAGATCGGTTTGAGGCAGTTGAGGCCTGAAGACGACGAAGAAGATGTCGTGGAGTTCGCGCAGGGAGAGGTTCCAGCGTTTGAGTGTGCGCCGGACCTGGGTGCTGGCGGTGGTCGCGGGGCCTCAAGCCGAGGAAGTATGAAGCTCTGTTGCTTCACGATGTTCGTTGTCGTGGTTGTCGGCATATCTTTTTTGTTGGGTTAGTATTGTGTGTGTAGGTGCCTTGGTTAATTGTATTTGTCTTGTCTCTGTTGCGAAGATATGTATATGTATATATTTTGTTTTTAGCCCATGGTTACTACCGGCGACATCCTCGGCGGGTGAACACAACAACGACCACGGTGGTGTCGGTTGTTACGGAGGAGACCGGCTTGCACGTTGGGACGACACCGAGTTTAATTCCCGCTGTGCCTGAAGTCGATCCGGACGAGGGGAGCACCAAGAAGTTCCGGGACGGTGTTCGTTTGGAACTCGTGTCGTTTGTTTGTCGCCGTTTAGCGTTTGGTTTGCAATTTTATTCGTACGAGAGGGAGTCGTGTGTGCTGATTCAGGGGGCTTTGTTGAGACCGGATTTCGTGGAGGCGCGGGAGGTAGAGCGCACACTTTTTGACATGTGCGAGGGATTCAAGAATTTTGTGTCGATTTGATACGATGAAGAAGAGATGAGAGGGTAAGCGACCCTTGGTCTTCCATGAAATAACGTGTTTTCTTTTAGCTTATTCGTTTTCCGGCCAATCGATGTCTGCGTCATGTGGAGCAGTTGGCGAGTAGGCGGGAGAGATGGATGGGGAGAAGGGTCTGAAGAGCTGAAGAGTCTCTTCTAGGTGGTTTGGAGTAGACGAGCGGTTGGGGTTGTCCGTGTCGGACGGTATGAGGTCTTCGATGATTAGATTCAGTTGTGGTAGGTGTTTTCCAATTTTTGCGAAATAGTTTTCGAATCTTTTGAACTTCAGCTCGATGATGGTTATTTCTTTCCTTAGTTCTTCTATTTCGTTGTTCATAGATCTAATTGTGTCTTTGTCCACATAGATGCGGTTTCGAAGAAGTTTACAATCAGCTCTGGTACATTGGACAGAAGGTGCTCCGAGGCGCTTTGCTTCATCTCTGTAATGTTGGCGTTCGGATTTGTCCATGTGTGGCCAAGTGTTGTGAGCTATGGTTTTCGTATGTGACAGTGAGGTTTGATTCTTGCGTTTAAGCTCGTGGACAAAGACCCAGAATGGTCTTGGTGTTTGGGGTATTACTGTGGGGAATGGTTAGTGTGTCTGTAAACTGAATTGTTTTGTTTTGAGGAGTGCAAGCAGGCAATCTGCAACACAAGTGGACAATGCTTTAAATTGGTTCAGTCGTAGGCTGGTAGGGGTAGTCTGTCACATTCTGCATGCTTTCGTGCGGACTTGGGTTCAAGGGTGCGTAGCTATTGGTTTTGAAACGCGAGAAGATCATGCACACGATTGTGATGGCCATTATAATTGCCATTCCGAGCAGAGTGCCACCTATCGCGATCGCTAGGTGGAGGGTGCGATTACTGTGGGTATCATCTGGTGTATCAGCTGGGTGGTATTTCAACTTGAAACGAAACCAGATTGATTCTCCTCCAATTGGGGGCAGATTTGGTCTCAGACAGGCAGTCAGATCATCTGCCTCCGCTTTGCAAGAGTCTGCAGACGGTGTACACCGTCGCAGAAAATCAGCTGAGTCTTCATTGATGACACAGCTGATGTTTTGAATTATGCAATCAACTTTGCAATCTTGATATGTGAAGTAGTTTGGTTCCAGCGATGCGACGGTGGTTAGGCAGACGAGTATTATGATTTCTCCGAGATGCATGGTTTCAAGCCGATTAGGTTTTTCAGTGTTTCGAAGGTGTGTTTGGCTGGGGCTTCCGTTAGGATGTCAGCCAGTCTGTTTTTGTGTTTGGATATACTTGAGATCAGGTTGTTTGTTTTCAAGGGTTTCGCGGATGAACATGTAGCGAACGTCGATATGTTTTGTTCGCTTATGGAATTGCGGGTTCTGAATTAGTTTTAATGCGGCTTGATTATCGACGTAGATCGTGGGGATAATTGGTGTGCGGAGCTCTTTGTATAGAGTCCGCAGCCACAAGGCTGATTTCGCCCCTTCGGTGACGCTGATGAACTCGCTTTCTGTGGTGGACAAGCTCACAGATTTTTGAGTCTGCGATTGCCATAGCACAGCACCACCGTTAAGTTTGCATAAGAGACCGCTTACACTTCTGCGTGTCTCTTTGCATGCGGCGTAGTCTGAGTCGGTGTAGAACTCTAGGGTGTTTGTGAGTTGGGGATCTCCGCCTCCCTTGTTGCTCTCCCGTCTACGGAAAGACAAAAAAGTTTTGCTCGGCGACGAAGCGCCCAGCACTGCCACTTAACGATTCAAACCGTACGGCCGATCGAATCAGGACCGAAGCGGTCCGCGTCGGTCACAGTGGAAGCCACAGGGGCGGAATGACTGGTCAAGTCAACGACAAGGCGCATCAAACTCGCCCGACACGGGGGCCCGTCCTCCGAACTCTAATGCCAACAACACCGCCGCGCAGCCGGCTCCGCCAGGTACTTGTTTTCCCTCTATAAGTAACTTTATCTCCCAATGGGAACTTCTAACTTCCGACGAGTGGATTCTGAGCACGGCCCGCGGCTATCGGATCTCCTTCCTTTCTCCCTCGTGTCAAACACATTTGCCGCACCCAATACGGTTCTCTCTCGCAGAAACTCTCATCATGACTAACCTGGTCGCCGATCTCCTAATCAAAGGAGCCATTGTACCAATCCCTGCCCGCCGCGTGCGATTTCTCTCCAACCTTTTCTTAGTCACGAAAGCGGGCTCGACCAAATACCGCCCAGTGATAAATCTCAAACCTCTAAACGAGTTCATCCCTAACGAAAAGTTTAAAATGGAGGGATGGATGGAAATCAAGGAAGCAGTTGTTCCGAACTACTATTTCGCCCGAATCGATCTTAAAGACGCCTTCCTATCCATTCCCGTCCACGAGTCAAGTCAGCCATTCCTCGCGTTCAAGTGGATGGAAACTACGTACTGCTGGGCCGGTTTGCCATTCGGACTAAAAACAAGTCCGCGGGTCTTTACCAAAATGCTAAAACCCGTGGCAGCCGAACTGCGACGACACGGCGTTATCGTTGTCGTATACCTTGACGATTTTCTCCTAATGGGGAACTCCCCCTCACGACTCACGACCCATGTGAGGCTCACAGTCGAGCTCCTGCAATCCTTGGGTTACGTAATCAACTTCGAGAAGTCCGCGCTGATACCCACCCATCAGGTGACGTACCTGGGTTACGAGATCGACTCCACAACCATGCAGCTATCGGTACCATTGAACGGGCGCAAATCAGACACGACATCACGGCGCTCCTAGCAGCTCCTGAAGTCTCTCTCCGCACGCTGTATCGCATTTTAGGGAAACTCAATGCATTAAACACTATCGTCCGCTCCCTGAGATACCACTGTTCCTCTCTGGCTAAGCTGGTGTCAACCACCACCCACCAAACACGGAACCTCAATACAACGGTACATCTAACATCCGACATCCGCACGGACCTCCTCTGGTGGACGATGCACCTCGATGCGGTCGCGGTAGGCCCCATTCAACCACCACTGGTCTCGTTGGAAATCACAACAGACAGTTCACTTCAAGGTTGGGGCGCCTGGTGCGAACTAGGGGCCGCGGGCGGCGCCTGGAACGATGACGACCGTCTCCTTCATATCAGCGCCTTAGAACTCAAAGCCATACTACTGGCGGTGCAACGGCTGGCTAGAAACCACGCCAACACGTCCATTGCGGTGCGAACCGACAGCACCAATGCGATGCCCAGCATCAACAACTTCGGCTCTTTGCATTCGACTCCGCTGAACTTCCTGTCCAGACAACTTTGGGCGTGGGCCTTTGCACGCAACATTTTTCTGAGGGCCTCGCACATCCCGGGCCTTCAGAATGAACTCGCCGACCAGCTGTCGCGAACAGTTTTAGACAACCACAGCTACTCCGTGAAACAACACGTATTCGATAGATTGGAGTCCGCCCACGGGACGTTCGAAATCGACCTCTTCGCCGATTTCTCCAACTATGAAGTCGCCACTTACTTCAGTTGGGTCAAAGACCCCTTTGCGCTTAGCGTCGACGCGTTCTTGTCCCGTTGGGACCCTTGGAGCAACCCCTATGCGTTTCCGCCTTTCAAGCTCGTTGATCGAACCCTCTCATTTCTGGACAATTTCCCAACGTGCGAACTCACGCTAATCTGTCCTCTTTGGCCGACACAGCCATGCTTCCCGAGGCTCCTGCAACGCTGCATCGACGAACCAATACTACTACCGGGGGATGCCGACCTCATCCTCGACCGCTCAGGAACGCCACACCCTCTGCTGGTATCCCGGAAGCTCCAGTTAGCCGCCTGGCGTCTAGCTCCCCTGTCCTGTCAGGAGAAGCGATCCACTTTCTGGAAAACTCTATCAGACCAAGCACACGCGCTGCATACAACTCATGCTGGCGAAATTGGCTTCGTTGGTGTCGAGAACGAGATTCCCCTACGCATCACGTTTCTCTAAACCAGCAATCGGCAATCAGTGGTCCGCGGACCGCTCGAGGTCCGCCACAAGGACCACCGGTCCGCGGACCGGCGCGGACCACCGGAGACAATTCTATTTAAAATTTCCGCAATGTTCCGAAAGGATCGTCGGGATACTTCGCTCAACTTTCGAAACGTCTCATGATGAGTGCTCGAGGAGACTATGGCCAGGTTTTGAAGCACGTCGGAGGACTTCTCTGGGGAGTGCTATCATTAAAGAGCGGTCTTCGAGGGTACATTACGGATTTATTTTCAAATTACTGGCAAAGCTCTGAGCGTTTCCGAAGCACTCGGTGGGACTTCCAAGGAGGTATGAGTAACTGTATGATTATCCCGAGTACTATTCGCGGGTTTCCACGAGAGAAGGGATTTCGCATTCTGCGGGTAGCTTCACATTTCTTTTCAATCATCATCAAGCAGCATAACGCGAAATCTAGCACCAGAAAAGCCACCGCGGCCAGCGGTGCTTCGCAATCGACTAGCTGTTCCCCGAGATCCATATGTTCACCGAAGTCGCGCCCGTCTTCCGCTACGATTCCGCCTCACCATTAAGAAGTTCAGATTGAGGATCATTCGGGGCATCGATGTCAAGGCTGTCCTCGACCTGGAGAGGGGATTGGATGAGCTTCGCGATGTTTGGGCCTACGGAAGTGACTCCGAGGCGAAGGGCTGTCTGAACATCTAGTCTCGATCTATGTATAACGTGTTTTAATAGCTGACATCGATGAGAAAGTTTTCTCACATAGGTATGTTGTTGAAAAAAGAATGAGAATTTTGGTCGCGATCTCACTGAGAACCGGATATTCATCCTTGACTGATAGCCAAAATTGCGATCTTGAGATACCAGTTTCTTAGTCGATGTTCCTAACTGTTCCTGTAGATCCCTATCCAAGGAATAGACGATGCGTGCTCCACAATGAGTTGTAGTCAACTGCTTTATTGTCTCAGGCTAGTGCTGCTAGATGCTAGAGGGCTCTGGCGTACGCACGCGCATTATTCGAATCCCATACAAACACCTCCCTCATAGAATATCGTAATCCCAGTCTATTATTTTATCACACAATTTGCGCCTAATTACATTGCTTGTTGATCCGAATATAACTCTGGGTCTTTTTCGATCTATTACTTCTTCTCGGAGAACTCCCGATCTCAACGTCTGACACTTTCCTCTTTCCGAGCGTCTCGTTGTTGATGCGGGACTGTTGCTGAGTTGATGTGTCGGCGACATGCTGGATAGGTTCCTGTCTAAGATGTCTACGATTCCTTCTTATCTCAGACCCGTCCTCCATCCTCACCCTGTAGGAGCGAGGTGCGACTTCTCGCAAACAAGTTCCTCTGAGCCATCTCCCTGATTTTTCCTGAGGTTGAACTCTGACTATTGAGCCCTTGCTCAGGCGTTTCAAAGTTTTGGCTCCCTTGTCGAATGCTATTTTACTTTTCTTCCTCTTCGACTCGTTGTTTTTCACTAGATTTTCGTCGAAGATGAAGTTGCTGTCCATTCGCGAAGGGTAACTTGCTGCGAAGAGGTCTCGAGAAAAACTAGAGCCCTGCTGAGTCCGTCCGATTGAATCGTGTTTCTCAATTCTAAAAGGGCGTATTCGTATTCTTCTCCGTTGATTTTGCACTTCTTTAGCAGACCTTTGGCAACTTTTACGGCCGCCTCTGCCTTCCCATTGCTTTGTGGGAAGTATGGTGAACTAGTGACGTGAACGGTTCCCCATGAAGCGAGAAAATCTTGAAACGTTGCCGACGTGAACTGCGGACCATTATCACTATGCAGTTCCATGGGAGCCCCGTATCTTGAAAAATGCTTCTGAGTCGCTCTCACGAGCCTCTCTGCCGTAGTATCGGCGCCGAGGTCGTCAATTTCGAAGTAATCCGAATATACGTCAACTGTCACCAAGTACTGTTTACCACTGTGCGTGAAGAGATCTTGATAGATTATTTGGAACGGATACGTTGCATCCGGAGTGAGTGATAGTTTCTCTTTGGGTTGGCGTGGCTGGTAAGACAGACAAGAGCTGCACGAATCGCACCATTCTCTCAATTCCGCTTTCAGCGACGGCCAGAAAATGCATTCTCTAGCTCTCTTCCATGACGCCTCGAACCTATAATGACTGGAATGTGCCAATTCCAGCATTTCTCGGCGTAGGGACTTCGGTATGAACACTGCCGTATTCCTGAGTATGATCTCGTTTTCTGTGGTCAACTCGGATCTGAACCTCCAAAAAGCACCCAGCTCCGTGGGGCACCTTTCTCTGGCCGAAGGCCACCCTTGTGAGATTCATGCCCCGCAGGCTTGTCGCCTCTGAATCCACTGCGCTGGCACTCCGAATCCTCTCCATAGTAGCGTTTCTTACCGCGGACAGAGCGGTTGTGTTCAGTTCCTCCAACTCGATTCTATATATCAAATTGTCCTCGTGAACCACTGTGTGATGTCCTCTCAGAGTGTCCCTGCTTAGCCAATCTGCTAAGCAGTTCGCCTTGCCCTTCACATGTCTGACCTCCAAGCTGTACTTCTGTATCGCCAAGAGCATGCGTTGCAATCTCTTCGGGTTGCTATGAAGTGGTCGATTGAAACATCCGATGAGCGGTTGGTGATCTGTCTCGACGACAACTTGTGAATGTCCGAAGATGAAGTGGTCAAACTTTTTGCATGCAACCACAATGGCTAATAACTCCTTCTCTATAACCGCATAATTGACCTCAGCCGGTCTGAGCGCCGAACTACACAGCTCCACCGGCTTTCCACCCTGTAACAACACCGCGCCCACCCCATTCTTGCTCGCGTCTGTTTGAATGAGGATGGGTTTTTCTACGTCGAAATATGCCAAAACCGGCGCATGGGTTAGTGCGTATTTGAGATCGGCAAACGCTTTGTCCTGATCCTTCTGCCATGCGAATTCCGCACTGTCCTTCAGCAACGACCTGAGTGGTGTTGTGAGTTCCGAGTATTTCGGAATGAATCTACTCAGATAGTTCGTTGCTCCCAACAGCCTCAGCAACCCTTTTTTGTCCGTCGGAGCCTTCGATTCCTGGATCACCTTGATCTTCTCCGGATCGGGTTGTACTCCATTCCGCGATAGTATATGTCCCATGTATTTCGCCTGTGGTACACATAGTCGAAGTTTGCTTCTGTTCAATCGTAGATTTCTTTCTCGACATCGCTGGAAAAATCCCCTGAGATTCATCAGGTGATCCTCGAACGTCTCTCCATGGATGAGAATATCATCTGCGATAATCTCGATGCCTCTGAGATTCTCGAGGGCCTGCATCTGCTTCGCCTGGTAGATTTCCGGCGAAATGTTCAGGCCTTGCGGCATGCGCAGATACTTGAATCGTCCGATCGGTGTCCAAAACGTCGTCAAATCTGTGGACTCCTCTTCTAACTCACATTGAAAAAGTCCGTCGGATGCATCGGCGACAGAAAAGTATCTCGCCTTCGTCAGCCGTGGCAGAATGTCCGAGAGCACCGGAAGTTGATAGTGAGCTCTCCTGGTCGCCTTGTTCAAGTGGAACGGGTCCAGAGTAACTCTAAGTTTTTTTCCTTTCTGTACCACCACCAGTAGTTGGCTTATCCACTCCGTTGGCTTGTGGACCGGTGTGATAATACCTTGTGCTTCGAGTTGCCTCACTCGTTCGATGATCTGTGGTTTCAAAGCGACCGGTGTCCTTCGG